GTTATGCTGATGACGTCCAGCTTTATATCTCTACCAAATCCATCACCCCGGCCACTCACTCCACTCTCTCCAACTGCCTCACCGACATCAAATCCTGGATGCATTCCAACTTCCTCAAACTCAACTGTGACAAATCAGACCTTATCATTATCGGCCCCAAATCCCTCACCAAAACCACAGACAGTTTCCACCTCACCATTGACAGCTCCATCCTGTCTCCATCCCCCCACAGTCGAAACCTCGGAGTCATCTTTGACAATAACCTCTCCTTTGAACATCACATAAACCAAATCACCAGAACTGCCTTCTTCCATCTCAAGAACATTGCCCGTCTTCGCCCATCACTCTCCTTCTCTGCTGCTGAAACCCTCATCCACGCCTTCATCACCTCCAGAATCGACTACTGCAACAGCATCCTCTATGGCACACCATCCAAAACTCTAAATAAGCTACAGTACATCCAAAACTCCGCTGCACGTATGCTCACCCACACCCACACCCTTGATCACATCACTCCCGTCCTCCAGAACCTCCACTGGCTCCCAGTTCCACAGCGCATTCAGTTCAAAATCCTCCTCCTTACACACAAAGCCCTCCATAACCAGGCTCCTTCCTACCTCACTGACCTGCTCCATCGCCACAATCCATCCCGCAGCCTCCGCTCATCTGACGCAAACCTTCTGACTCCTCCACCCCGGACCAAGCACCGAACCCGGGGCGACAGAGCCTTCTCTGTAGCTGCCCCCTCCCTCTCTGCCCCCTCCCTCTGGAACTCTCTCCCCAAATACATCCGTGACTGCACCGACCTTCCAACATTCAAATCACTGACAAAAACACACCTTTTTAAAATTGCTTTTAATGTTTAGCTTAGTCTGATGTGTTTTTAATGTTTTACTATTTGATGTTGTTTTGCTGCTTTTATGTTTTTATGTAAAGTGTCTTTGAGTATTTAGAAAAGCGCTTATAAATAAAATGTATTAGTATTATTAGTATAAAGTACTGTGTGTGCAGGTTGGAGGAGGCGGCCGTCCTCACGTACTCTCCAGCTGTTCATCCCGTCATCATCGCTGTGTGCTGCTTCCTCATCATCGTGGCCATGGTTGGATACTGCGGCACACTCAAATGCAACCTGCTGCTGCTGAGCTGGGTACGTTCACACCGCAGTGGGTACAGTGCAGGTATACCCCAACACCTGGTTACTCAACTGGTTACTCACCTGGTTACTGCAATACACCTGGTTACTCACCTGGTTACTCACCTGGTTACTGTAGTACTGTTACACCTGGTTACTGCAGTACTGTTACACCTGGTTACTGTAGTACTGTTACACCTGGTTACTTTAGTACACCTGGTTACTCACCTGGTTACTGTAGTACTGTTACACCTGGTTACTGCAGTACTGTTACACCTGGTTACTGTAGTACACCTGGTTACTCACCTGGTTACTCACCTGGTTACTGTAGTACTGTTACACCTGGTTACTGCAGTACTGTTACACCTGGTTACTGTAGTACTGTTACACCTGGTTACTGCAGTACTGTTACACCTGGTTACTGCAGTACTGTTACACCTGGTTACTGCAGTACTGTTACACCTGGTTACTGCAGTACTGTTACACCTGGTTACTGTAGTACTGTTACACCTGGTTACTGCAGTACTGTTACACCTGGTTACTGCAGTACTGTTACACCTGGTTACTGTAGTACTGTTACACCTGGTTACTGTAGTACACCTGGTTACTCACCTGGTTACTCACCTGGTTACTGTAGTACTGTTACACCTGGTTACTGCAGTACTGTTACACCTGGTTACTGTAGTACACCTGGTTACTGTAGTACTGTTACACCTGGTTACTGCAGTACAGGTAGAGCAGAGTAAGATCAGGTCCAGTATTTGTTAGACCTAAACAGGGATCAGTCTGTCTCTTTGGGTCCGGTCTGTGATCCACATTACCTGTCTGTTGTCACCTGAGTGGGCGGGGCCAGGTATCAGGTGTCAGATTGTCCTTTCAGTGTGTCTCTGAAACACGAGACGTTGGGACACAGAGGGCAGCTCAATGGACTCCCAGATGGGATGATGGGAAACCAGCAGAGACAGGAAGTTCCCCTCAGTCAGCGCCGCCGCCGCCGTTACACCTGGGAGGTCACATGACATCACGCTCACCTCCATCCTGCTCACACACTGAGCTCGAACACTGGAAGTACTCAGAGCCTGTACACGTATTCTCAGCTGTATGCAGTTGTACTGTTGCACTGTTTTACGGAGGCTCTGTGGTGTCTAATGGACTCTGTTTGTGTGTTACAGTATTTCTGCAGTCTGTTGGTGATCTTCTGTGTGGAGCTGGCGAGCGCCGTTTGGACCTACGACGAAGTGAGAAACCAGATATGTAAACATAAATAAATAAAATAATAAATATATATTTAGTGTATAGCAGCACTTTATGTCACAATGATGTTAAATAAAGACGTGTTTATGACCTTTTCTTGTAAAATTCTAATCTTCTCAAAATGATTTAACATCAGATGTCTTCCTGTCAGCGGCTCAAACACTCTGTAGTAGTTTTTTACGTTGGCTAATTAAAAATGTGAATATTTGATCCACCTGTGGACATCTGAAACCGACCAATCAGAGAGCAGGTAGCGAGCAGCTGCGCCCCGTCTTCGTTCTAAGAATAAACAGAAATGTGAGACGAGGGGCTCGCTGCTGCTCCTGTTTCACACAACAAACACACTGATCACAACTACACACTACTACACACTACTACACAGTAATACAAACCTACGGCAGCCTTGCTAGTGAACTTTTCATGATGAAGTTTAAATTCTTTTATATCCAGGTGTCTTTCAAGACTTTCATGACTGATTATTTAGTAAGTAGTAAGTGTTTTCAAAGATAAAAGAATAAATTTAAAAACGTATTAAAAAAATGTTAATTTGCGTCTCAGAGCTTCTGTACAAACCAGCTGTTACTGTGAGGTTGAACAAACAGGCAGCAGCTTATCAGCAGCTTCAGCAGCTGTGTGTGTGTTTACCTGCAGGCTGACATCACCATCTCACCTCCATCACTACAGGCCTCACCTGCCTGCAGGGGGTTGTGGGTATTGTAGTTCAGTGGGAATGATTTCTTATCAGCAGAGAGCTGATGCACCTGGATGACGGGGGAGGGAGTGGGTGACACAGAGGTGACATCATGTGGACAGGTGATGACTGTGTGTGTGTGTGTGTGTGTGTGTGTGTGTGTGTGTGTGTGTGTGTGTAGCCCGCAGTGCAACGCTCTGATATGATCAGTCTGAAGTCTCGGATGCCAAACTACGGCCTGCAGCGTTACCAGTGGCTCACACACACCTGGAACAGCTTCCAGACAGAGGTCAGAGGTCACACAAACACACACACACACAAACACAGGTCATATGACCTGCATGCTGACAGGTGTGTTTACCTGTGCACAGTTTAAATGCTGCGGGGTGATCTACTTCACTGACTGGCTGGAGATGACGGAGATGGAGTGGCCACCCGACTCCTGCTGCTCCGATCCATATCCGGGATGCGCTCGCCACGCCCACTACCACGACCTCAGTGACCTCCACCAAGAGGTGAGCCGCCACGCCGCCACCTCTGATTGGCCGACACTCATCAGTGGTCTGACTGTGATCTGTGTTTCAGGGTTGTGGGCCGAAGATCTACGCCTTCATTCGAGGGACGAAGCAGCTGCAGGCGTTACGCTTCCTGGGCGTGTCCATTGGCGTGGCTCAAATCCTGGCGATGGCGCTCACACTCACGCTGCTCTGGGCACTTTATTACGGCCGAAAGTCTCCAGAGCTGGACTCCACAGTGCCGCCTCCAGATGACTCCTCTCCCCTCGCAGCGACACTTGGACCCTCAGTGGAAGCTTCAAAGTCCGGCTGCAACCACACAAATAAAGGCTCTGCTGGTGCCGCTGCCGCCAAACCGAGTGACCTCCAGTTCGAGATGGAGCGTCTGTCGTAGGATTCAAACTGTTTCATGGTTTCATTCAACATTTCTGTCAGTTTAACGTCGGAGGATCCAATGAATCTCTGTCGGTCTGGTTTCTTCGAGGATCCATCAGGTCCAAAATCCTGAACCCATAAAGACCTCCACTGTGTCTGAGATGTTTCACTAACATTGTTTAAAGGACCTGGTTGGAGGTTCTGTTGAGCCTCAGTCCGCGATCACAAAAGTTAACACAAATTCAACCGACACTCGGGTAGTCTGCACGCAACCATGAACCCTTTTTCGTTTGGTTAAACTTTTTTTTGCTTATTTCAAAACTTCTTTTAAAATATGACTTTTCTCAACGTTTCTTTTTTACAGTGAAGATTATTTGAAAAGTTAGATATTTGGTCATTTTAACAGATTTCATGACTGCAAACCCTGAATTTTTATCCAATCACAGCAACACTGGACTTTCACTAAAGATATTAGTAAAACGTTAAATAATACATCACCAAACTGCTCGAATTTTATTCTCACTGGAACAAGTTGCCTCCAATTTTTAACAAATTATACAAAAAATCTATTTCATTACAAAAAAAAATCTAAAAACATAATTTTTTTTGTAAAAGCTGCTGTGAAATCAGGAATTTTAAGGCACAGCAATGAAACAAAGATCCCGGAGTCGGTATCTGACGACCTGAGAACAAGACTCCACAATCAGATATCATTCTCTGCTCTGATCGAACCTGATTCTGTCACAGATTATCTGTCTCGTGTTCTGCTGTCAGGATACAGGGAAAGTTTCAGAAATTGCGTCAAAAAGTTATTTTTTTATAAAAGTTACCCACTGAAGTTGTCAAGTAAAACTTTATTGACACTGACAGAAAAGATGAACCGAACTACGAGCGGAGCGGGATGAAAGCGGCACTCGCTGCCGACCGAGTCATCAGGAACTCTTTGAGGATGAACTCTGAACTCGAGCAGAAGCACAAAAGGATTCTGGTGCTTTTTGTTGGTACTTTTTCACTGGATGAAGCTCGAATGGAAACAACCACTGAACAGACGAAGAACTGTACGAAGTCAGTCTGAAGGGTCTGAACGAGGAGGTGTGCATGGTGTTTAATATTTAATAATATTTGTTTGATCATTTTCTCACTGGAATTAAAGCAGAATCAGGTCAAACTGTGGACGTTTGATTCAGTCACCAGAATCTGCAGGTGAACCGGGCGGGGCGACGGACAGAAACAATGATTGTTTATTTCAGTAAAAACAGACACACTCTCTTCATCACATGGTCTCCACAGGAAGAACATTATTACAGTCTACACTGTAAAACAAACTAACTCTGCAGCTGTCTGTTACATTTTTTAGTCAAACTCTTGATGATAATTTACTTTTATTCTTTAGAAAAACTTGAAACTTAAAATTTTAGAAACAAAAAATCTATTTCAAAAATTGTTCAGCAAACAAATTTTAACAATTGTTCCCAACCTGAGGGTCGGGACCCCCGCTAGGTGTCGCCCAAGCTTGGCAAGGGGTTGCAAGGTCTTCTTGGTTTTAAGATGTGTAAGAAAACTACAGTTTACTCGCTGATAGACAGGAGCTTCCTTAAGAGAAAGGATCACAGTGAAAACTGTTACTAATTTCTAACTGCAACCAAATAGTAATTTCTAAAAAATAAAGTTAAATTAAAGCTGCAAGCAGCGATGAACGGGCCCTCGCACTCCACGCAACTCGGGGTGTGCTAAATGGTAAATGGACCTGTACTTGTATAGCGCCTTTCTAGTCTTCCGACCACTCAAAGTGCTTTTACACTACGTGCCACATTTGCCCTTTCACACACATTGACACAGCGAAGTCCATTGAACTGAAACTAATGCATTGATACACATTCACACACCGATGCATGGCATGGGGAGTAATTCAGGGTTCAGTATCTCGCTCAAGGATACTTCAACATGTGGCACCAGGAGCCGGGGATCGAACCACAACCTTCCGATTAGGGGACAACCCATTCTGCCTCTGAGCCACAGCCGCCCTGCTGAGGTTGCGTCAAGTGCCGTGGTAACATGTGCAGACCACATCATGAAAATTTCACAGAAATCAGATCATAATCGCATCGCAGCACTTACTTCCTGTTGCCAGTATGTGGCGCTCTCACTATATCTGAATATTGTCATGTCGGCGTGTTCAGGGCGGGACTCTTATCAAACGTGTGAAGTTTCAGTTTCCGGTGCCTGGACCCATGCCTGGACCCATGCCTGGACCCCTGCCTGGACCCCTGCCTGTACCCCTGCTTGGACCGGCTGCTGGACCCATGCCTGGACCGGCTCCAGGCATAGCACCAGGCTCCCCCGGCAGTGCTGCCGGCAGTGCACGTTTCCCCCCTGGCACTGCACGGGGCCTCTATGCAGCTCCCGTCTCTGCTCCTTTAGTTTCAGTGTACATTGTACAGTGTGTGATTATAGAGGACAATAAGACTGATTCTTTTCATTTTCTGTGAGCCTGTTAGAGCTTACAGCAGAGCTTCTCTATCCACTATCCAGGTATCCTACTGATGACCCAAATCGTCTGTGCTTAACATAAATGTTGGTTATTATTCTAAAAACCACAATAAGGTATATGGGTCACACACACACACACACACACACACACACACACACACAAACACACTATATGTACAAAAACAATCACTGTATTCCTACTAACAGGATATTATCATTCATTTCCCAGAGAGAAAAATAAACCATGTGAACAGAAATGATATTTGATTGTTATAAAATACATTGGTTAGTAATTAGACATTCATATTTGAATTAACCAGCAGCCAATAAACATTAGGGCCCGAGCACTGATTGTGCGAAGGAGTGTGAATGTCGTTCTATGCTATCTAAGAGGGAACTTGTCATTATTTACCATCCAACAGGGGACTGAGCTTGTTTATTGAAAAACTGATTGACATCCAGCGCTTGTGAAAAGTGGACAGCAAGTATTTTGGGATTGAGCCACTTTAAAGGGCTAGTCAGTCTGATGTGAAGCTTATTAGTTAAAACTACAAAGAAAGGATCATGTTACTGCTCATTTAATTCCTGATTTTATCCAGTTTTTTCTATTTAAATAGAAATGAAATCCACATTAGTTGAGCATTGTTTTGTTACAAATACCATTAAAATATAATGTTGCAAGAGACAATTTACTTGACATTTTTTCACAAAAAATATTATTGATTTAGCTTGTTCCTCTTATTCATCCATGCTGGAGTGTGAATGTCGTTCTATGCTATCTAAGAGGGGACTTTTTTTATTTACTGAGAATTAACAGACAATTAGAGAAGAATTGCAAACTGAGCTTGTTCATTGAAAACTGATTGACATCCAGCGCTTGTGAAAAGTGGTCAGTGAGTATTTTGGGACTGAGCCACTTTAAAGGGCAAGTCAAAGTCTGATGTCAAGTCTATTTATTAAAACTGAAAAGAAAGGATCCTACTGTTTACCGCTTGATCACATATTTTTCCATTTTTTATTTCTCTGTTATTGTTCTTATTTTTCTTCTTCTGTGTCACGGCCGAACAACCACAACATGATAGTCAACGCATGATTGAAAACCTGTCCAAGGTTTGGAAATGTTTGTTATTAAGGGGAAAAACATTTAAATTAGTGCACTATTGTAATAATATTTCTGTAATTAAAGCCTATATAAAGTAATGTTGTTGCTAGCACTGCAGGCCTTAATATTAGTGCATGCGGCCAAGTTACTTCTTAAATTCAGGTAAATCATTATTTATTCTCAAAAAAGTGGCCATGATTATTTTTGTAATATCTTTATCGCAGATAAAAGTTAAAATATCGAAAACATTACAGTTAAATTGTGTTTTTGAAAGAAACAAAGAAAGCCTTTGCAGTAAACAAACACTCATTGAAGGTGAAAGAATAGGTAGAGGCAGTTCCATTGCAGAATATGGAGGTCCCCTCTTTGATAGGTAGTAATTTCCTTTAAAAAAACATTTGAGGTAAAGGACGCAGGAGGGTTTGAATCCCTCTCCTCGTGTGTGCTGAGATTTGGGCCGAATATGTGTGTGTGATCTTAAGGCCCGGACACACCAACCCGATTATCGGCCGTCGGACAGTCGGGCGAGGTCAGTGACTCGAGTCGGTTCTGTGTGTCCTGTGCCGTTGTCAGTCGGCGTCGGCGTTCATTTTGGCCGATTCGACATGTAGAATCGGCCAGTGGCCGTTGGCCTCAATGACCAATCTGATTGGTGCAGTGCTCGCCCTTGACTAGCGAATCAGTGAGTGCACAAGAGAAAACCGGAAGTGACGATGGTTAACATACTACACCAATGCCAATATCTTGTTATTATTAGCCATCGTATTTTCCGTTCAGCGAGTAATGACAATAACGATCCTTCTTGACTACTATCAACATTCTCTGATGAAAACAATGACAGACAACAGCGTGCTCTGTGTTTACTAGGTCTAGAGTGATCCGCCATTTCCGGTTTTCATTTTTCTTGGGCGACAACACAGATTAGCGCCGCCTGCTGTTATGGGGACGTATTACGCCTCACGCACGCTCCAGTCGGCGTCAGTTTGGTGTGTTCAGAGGCACTTTTTTGACCGACTCGGAGGGACAAGAGCTGACTGATCAGTCCGACTGCTTTTCTGCCGACGGTCGGCTGTCGGGTTGGTGTGTCCTGGCCTTTACACGACTTGATGACTCAGTCCAATAAAAAAACACATATGAAAATCGTTATAAAAATATATACACATTGAAAGTAATGCCTTGGTGAAAATGTGCTTTTGTTATAGGTTTTATGTCACAATGTGAGTGAAAATTAATTTGTGTTTTTGTGCCTGACGGTGTTGACATAAAAAAGGGGTGGCACGGCAAAAAGCACATTTAGTTAAAAAAAGAGAGGTTGGGAGGTTGTATCAAAGCAGAGCACAGTAGCTGAGTACATGGTAGATACATGCATGTAGTTTACTTTATCTGAGCTTAAGGGTGTCACGAATTCCCGGCCGTGATGACTGTTTGGGTGTGTTTGTGTTGGTCTATGGTTTGCGTGCTGGGTGCTTGTCGTGTTTTCGTGTTGTCTTGTGGTGTTTTGTGTCACTCTGCCTCAGGAATCAATCCTGGGACTCAGTCCCGGAACCCAGTCAGCCCACGCATCCTGTTGGATCCCCACACTCCAAGCCTACCAGCCAGCCACTCTCTGGATCACCCCCACCTCTGGACTCCCACTCCCGCCTGCCAGCTTCCCCTTTTTTCACTATTCACTGTTTGTCTAAATAAACCGTTTAAACTCAACCTCTTGTCCGATCTGCTTCTGGGTTCCCCTCAGAACCGTTTTTTTTTACAACTTTGAATCCTGTTTTGTCCCACTTCCCAAGAATCAGTGCTGATACTGATCTTAACTGATACTGATATTAATTAATATTAAATTATATTGATATTAACTGATACTGATATTAACTAATATTAAATTATATTGATATTAACTGATCTTGATATTAACTAATATTAACTGATATTGATATTAACTAATATTAACTGATATGGATATTAACTAATACTTATATTAACTGATACCGATACTGATATTAACTGATACTGATATTAACTTATATTAAATTATATTGATATTAACTGCTCTTGATATTAACTGATATTAACTGATATTGATATTGACTAATATTAACCGATATTGATATTAACTAATACTTATATTAACTGATACCGATATTAACTTATATTGATATTAACTGATACTAATAATAACTGATACCGATATTAACTTATATTAATTAGTATTTGCCCTCCTCGCCACAAGACACAACAGGTGGCCAACTTGTGAGTACCTCCCTCATTATAAATAGAGAGCTGGACTTGACTTGCCTTCCTTTGTCTACAAACATTAAGTGGATGATTTGTAAATGTGTGCTGTGATTCTGTTTTTTTTTTTATATACATACTTTATAAGTGATGGGGCTGTAACGTTACTGGTGCCCCATGAGCAGGTTTTGAGGTTAGGTTGCCTTGCTGAAGGGCACCTCGGCAGTGCACAGGAGGTGAAACTGACACCTCTCCAGCTACCAGTCCACACTTCATATTTTTGTGGTCTGTGGGACTTGAACCGGCAACCCTCCGGTTCCCAAGCCAAGTGCCTACTCACTGAGCCGCCCCTGTTGAGCTACCGTCACTGTAAGTAGCAATTTCTTCATATAATTTACATATTTTTATGATCTATAAGAGACAGGAGGGTTACATTTGTTAAATAATACTATGTTGATTTATGCTGCGACCTCCAAATATGCAGTCGAAGGCGCAGACAATAATAATTCCTAGAGATACAATACGGCCTGATAACAAGAATAGGTAAGAAGAATTCTAGCAAAAACAATAGGGACCTTCCAGTTGATACTGGCTCGGTCCCTAATAATAGGTAAGAAAAAGAATTCTAGCAATTACAAAAGGGACCTCCAGCGGTTGCTGTCTCGGTCCCTAATGACCTCAACAAAAGATTATAGGTTTATTTCAAAACTTAAAAGTTTGACCTAAAACTGAAATATCAGTGAAGACAGATGCCTTGGAATGTTTGTTCTCAACTTCTCTGTTTTTTACACTGTATATGGACAATATCTCAGCAGCTGATTGGCTGATTTCCTTGCCCCTGTCTCCAAGGTCTTGCTCATGGTGGTACTGTTGGGTCTCTGTAATTAATGTTAAAGAGTTCGGTCTAGACCTGCTCTATTTGAAAAGTGTCCTGAGATAACTTCTGTTATGAATTGGCACTATACAAATAAAATTTAACTGAAATTGAATTGAATTATAATAACAGCAAACATCAGCTCAAACACTTTCCTCTAGTCGAACTGCAGCTGTTGGAGAAAGTGGAGAACACACTTACAGACACACACACACACACACACACACACACACACTCACACACACACACTCACACACACACACACACACACACACAGTCAGCTGTTGAGTGTGAAAATCTCTTAACATCCAGCATGTATGAAATTCTACCTCCACAACCTCTGCAGAGTATTAATAGATAGTTTACCCTCAGCAGCGTGCTGATGTCCTACAGACGCCTGAACGCAGCGCAGCAGTTTACACACTTGTCTATTTTTATACAGAAATCTTTCATTTCTAAGTATGGTGCTCGACTGGTATTGATTGATTTGTAAATTCAGCGGTGGTAAAAAAAAAGTAGATCAGATCAGATGGGCGTTGTAAAATGGCTCCACAGCTGCCCCATAACAGGAGGTCGGCCATTTTGCATTTAACGTTCCAGGCGTTTTACTTTAATGAAGTCCTACAGAACTGATCGGCTCGACTTCAAATTTAGATCTAAAGACAATAATGATTCAAACTTAGCAAAGCCTGAGTTTTCCGTCAGTGGGCGTGGCGGCAAAGATTAAAGTTTAGCCATGAAACAGGAAGTTGTTGTAACGTACATTCTGTACTGCCAGGGCCCTAACGTCGCTGCCTCCAGCTTAAACACTACATTTGAAGCTTGTGGCCAGAGGTGGGAAGTAGAATCTGTTTTCAGGTTTGCACAGAAACAGCCGGCAGAAACCGAGGAAGTACTTTTACTTTTATACTCTGAGTACATTTCAGAGTCTGTACTTTTACACTTTACTTGAGTAAAGAATCAGTTCTTCTTTTACATCTTCTTTTGCACCAGTATCACCTCTGCTGGCTGAACCAATCTGCGTCTTTTGTTCTGATAAAAACAGGTTTACATGAAACAACAAAAAGAAACAGAATAAATTCCATTAATCTGAATGAAAAGAGACACTTGTTTGCATGTTTTAATAGGACAATGTTTTATTCTATTTACTCAGACACTGCACCGGACTAAAACCATGGAAGCTTCTCTTTTTTTAATATTATCCTCAATAATTCATATTTTATCAATATAACACAAGCTTTAGGAAATCAAACGCAATAATTATCATTTAATCATCCTCAGTATTTCATCAATTTACACAACCGACATCACTTCCTCCCTCCGGCACAACGACTGGTCCGAACGCATGCATCGGGAACTCTTTAGAAAAATATCATGAACTGAACATAAGACAAGTTCTTATGGGAATTATTGAAACAATAAGATGATTGACTACACCAATAAAGAACAATTACAGCACATGTGCACTAGCAACAGTAACGGTAATAATAATAATCCTTATTTCTGTTGTTTACAACCAAAAATCAAGAATATGATCCTCAAAAATATGGTTCTATAATTGTTTTCCCTAAAGTCAAAGCATATCTTTACAAAACAAGGGAACAAACCAACAGATATTGGTTGCATATGTCACATTATAGTCGAGCAGTGATGGTTGACGGTGGGCTGCTAGCAGGGTTAGCCATTTGCATTTTCACTCCAAAGTGTCGGGCAACTTTTATATCGTCTTAGAAAAACAACGACAGAGACATCAATCTGCTTTTAATCCAGTTCAAGATTCAACTCCAACCTTTCAAACATATTTGCATCAGTTGATTTCAGCCGTCCAGAGTTTGACGGGAAAAAGAGCAAAAATACCAGAAAATCCACAAACGTATCCACTGCGATCTTTTCTCCAAACAAACATTAAATCCAAACGAGGTGAATCCGGGAAAAAGTCCAACAAATCCACAGAGAAAGTGAATGTACAGGTGAGTCACAGTTTTTAGGAAAAGGAGAATTGCCTTCGTATCAAAATGGATTCAAACAAGTTCGTCTCCGTTCACCAGCGGTTCACTTACCGGAGATAAAGATGTTTCTGAGACAGGAGATCTTTAAATGTGAACATTTTCAGACCAAAAGTGACCAAAAGTATTTTGTCTCCACTGGAACCCAAACTCAATATTTCAGTGTGAAACAAGTCCTAACTGCAGATAATCAATAATGTTTAATGTAACCTAAACATCTACAAAACCTTTTGCCCAAATTGAGGTCAGATTTTACCTGGATACACAGATGGCTTTGGAAATATCGCGACCTGAAGTCCTGAAATCTTGCTCAGACTCAATAAGCAAATTATTATTTAGTGACAAAACAAAAAACTGCAATATTCACAGAACTATAAACAGACTTGGTTACCGGACATACATGAGAAACGTTAGCTTACAGATTCTGACAGGAAGTTCAACCTTTCAGGGAAACATATAAAGTTAATTAATTGACTTTTATCTCATTTGTTTGAATCTGCGCATTAAATAATTTAACAAAGAGTTACGCGCCGGAAGTATTTGATGATGAATTAGTGCTAAGCTAGGCTTACCACTTCCAGACACCAACTCTGAACACACAGACGAAGTTTGTTGAGTATTTCTTAAACTGTTCCTTTAACTGTCAGAATCAGAAAGACAACATTTTACGATGCTCACATTTAGTGGTAGCAGCTACATTAGCGTGATACTTAATATTTAGTGACGACTGCTGTGTACTGTTGGCCATAATGACAAACTGCTGCTAACGTCTGTTTATTAAAGCTGAAGATATTCTGTTGTAGCTGCTACGCAATCTAAGCTAGCATTAGCTAACGTTATATGTAACAGACTGACTGAAGCTGCTGCTCCGAATACAAAGATCCTGATGATTAAAATGATAAAAATATTAATGTAATGATCTTAAAAGTATAATTCAGGCTGTTATTGACCTTCTGCTAGCTTTATCTGTCGCTCAACATTCAATACTCGACTGCTAACTAGCTACAGTGCAACACCATTGTTACGACGGCCCGTTATCCTGAAACACAAACAGTGTGATAAATGGTTTTTAGAAGGTTGTGCTTCGACAATGAGATTCTCAGCAGAGTCCTAAACCCCAAAATCTAAATAAATAAGTGAAATGTGAATATTCTTTCACCCTGACATGGAAATTGAGAGCTGCTACCTGTCCGTAGTTTCTGGAATATAGTTTGAAAAACTATAAAAACTCAAAAGTCTTTTTGTCTTCTTTGATAATTTTAAATTATTTAAGGTTTTAAAGCATAATGTATAATTATGGTATTCTTTAAATGAAATGGTTTATAAGTTGCATTGATACATTTAAGTGATATTTGTGCACACATACCAATCATAGGTCAAAATATTGTCTGAATTATAAAAGCCAGAAGTGGAATTAAATGAAGGGTTCAAACAGTTTAATGTTAGTTATTAGGGAGTTTTATATTCTCATGCAATGTGTTGAACTGTACAGTACGAACCCCGACAACTGCAGGGACAGTTTCTATTCTTTACATTGTAGTGTGACATATCTGTTTCACAAACTACACGTCTGTTTACTTCCTGTCAGCGCTGTTTCATCGTTATTTTAACCACTGAGCAGTTCACTTTGTAAAAATTGTTAATAGTATTTACTGTATGATTTTGATCATTCGGATAGCCTAATCACCTGTGTTTTTAAAAAGCGAGCTAGCTTAGCCAGTCAGCTAACCGAGGGGGGCTGACTGTGGTTTCCGCCAGTTAACAGGAAGTGTTTCCTTGCCACCGTTGCCAAGGTCTTGCTCATGGTGGTACTGTTGGGTCTCAGTAAATAATGTTATAAGGAGTTCGTTCTAGACCTGCTCTATTTGAAAAGTGTCCTGAGATAACTTTGGTATTATTTGGTTTGACAAATGAAACTGAACTGAGTAATTAATAATTCATTTCTGAGCCCTTTCGCGCACAGAGAGTTAAAAACCGATCAAACTTTAGCTAGCTTTGAAAATCGGGCTAATGTTGGTGTCTGGCTAACCTAGCTCGCTTTCTAAAAATGCTGAGGTGATAGGAGGCTATCCAAATGATCAAAAATGAACAACAACTACTATTAACAATATGCACAAAGCTAACTGTGAAGAGTTGAGCTGAAATAAGGTGTGCAGTTCGTAAAACGTTGTGCAAATACTGTTGGAGGCCTTCGGAGTAGTGGCCGTTTGTTTTCAGTACAATGTGCTATCAGACAAATGGGACATTTTTCGGATTATTCGAGATTTTAAATAATGGTCAGACGCATGATGAGTCCTAGTTACAACGTTCGGGCTAGAAAATGACGTGCACAGGCAGCTGATGCTATAATATACATATCATTTATTGGCCAACAGACTCTTTTTGATCGTCAAAAGGACGCAGTGCCTGCCAACAAGTATTAAAATAATTCAGGGTGTCAATTCTCTTTCAAGCTGCTCATTTTATATTTTACAGCTTATAAAATCTAAAACTAAGAAGCCGCTAACAACGCACATCTTGATTTTATGTGACTAAATTGGTGTAAAAAGGTTGACTTCAGGACATTTGATGTTTTAAGGGTTCTTGTTACAGTAATATAAGTTATAATAGTTTAAATTGTGACGGCAGCTGTCAGTGCAGCACAATGTTCCCGAAACATCCTCAAATCTCCCTGAAATCAGTTCTGTCGACTCGTGCTGTCGCAAAAAAGTCCACCCGACAACAACTTTAACCCTGCTTAAAGTACGTTAAGAAAGACAAACATTAGGCAGCATGTGCGTTAAATAAATCTGCAAGCAAAGACGACGAAGATAAAAGCTCCGGTGCAAAGACAAAAAACAGTTTCTTATCACAAATTGACATCAACATTTTTCATGATGGCGCTGCAGATGTTTCTGTACAGCAGAGAGGAAGGCAGTCAGCTCTGACAGAAAGATCAGGTAAAAAAACAATATATACAGAGTCAGGACCGGACCCCGGACCGCTCGTACAGGTGGAAACCGACGAGCTGCGTAGTCGGGGACGCACCTGGTCGGATCTACATGCAGAGGAACGTCCCGACACACCTGGAAACACACCGACCCATGCACTCACTCACACAGGTATTGAACATGCTTTCCTCAACATCAGAGCTGCGAATATAAAACCTCCTCCGCCAAATCAGCGGATTAAAGGAAAAGCCTCCTCATTTTGGGAAGAACGTATGTTAGTCATTTAGCCCTGATCCAGAACTCAACGTGCTCGGAGACCTCAACGCTTCTTACGCCACTGCGTGATGTGGTCACATATTCTGGGCTGTAGGATCTTACTGAGGTCCAATAAACAATTAGTAAATACAAATACGAATACATACAAGTAAATAAATAACAATAAATAGCAAAATTATAATAAATACAAAAAATAAATTAAATAAAAATTGAAATAAAATAAAGTATAACAAAAATAAACAAAATAATAAAACATAAAAAATAGTTCCCTCCAAAACATTTTTTAAAAATTGCATATTTTATTTATTAAGTTTGCCGTTAGATGATATTTCTTTGAAAGCCTTCACTGCACCACCAGGAATAACAATCTACTTATTAATTATATATATTTTTTAATTTTCTTTGGCTTAAAAATAGTCAAATAAATTAAATATAAAATAAATCTTCCCAGGTATTATAAACCTCAGTAGCTGCTCGCAGTGTTGCAGAAACTGACGAAATCTTGGATTTAGTCGTAGGTTTCGGTCCAGGTGAGATTATCGCAGACTGTCGATCAAATAGGTTCACAAATGTAACCTGCTGCTGGATTAAAGGTTTGCATAGTGTGAGAATCATTAATGGGACGTTCTCACTCCCAACTCTATGTTTTAAGACACTGACTGATAATTGGGAAACAAGTTCGTATTCTCATTATTCTTCTCATCATGAATATTATATTGATTAAGGTTGTATCTGAGAAAACTGTCCAGGACCGCCATACAAAGTACGTCCATTCTGAATCAGAGCTAATGTACCCAGACACAGGTGAGAGGATAGGTAAACTGCTAGCCTAGCTGAGTGAAAGATAATATTAAGAGAGAAAAAACCTTCCAATAACTTCAAAACTATCTTACTTTACGTTTTTTATCTTGTTTAATTCACACAAGTAGAAAATGAGATGGGCTTAGCTCTCGAAGACCGTTAGCTCAACTCCTTTGGAGGTTGGAGATCATTTTATTTAATGTTATAAATGTATAAAACAAAGCCATGATGAGAAGATTGGCTATTTATATTTAGTTATTATTAATGTCTGCAACCAGGTCAGATTCCCCTTGAAATCAGTGAATCGAGGCGGGAGACAAACTCTTGGATGGTCTGATTACTAGCTTGTAGATCAGACAGACTTGTTGGAAGGTTGATTGAGCTAGGCTAGCCGTTTCCCACTGCTCTCATTCTTTGTGCTAAGCTAGACTAAACACGTCTGAAAAACTGATTTCTATTATCTCATCTGACTCTGGTAAGATGGTTCCCAAAATGTCCGACATTTCCTTTAAACTGCATTCCAAATAAAGAAATCTACATTAGCATCACCTTTCTCTGGTTTTGAGACATCAATTTTAAAGACATACAGAATTGGAAAAATAGCAGTCGTGACGATTTTTAATTTCTCTCAGATAGAGATGAGTCATTAGCCAAAGCGCTACCGTCATCTCTTCTCAGACTGCTAGAATAAAAATCCTTCCTACGAGACCAAAGAAAAGTTACAATCCAACGTGGGTTCAGCTCAGTTTAAGTGTATATTTTATCATTTTCCTCCACCAGAGGTTTGAAATATTCAGATTAACCCGTCACTTCCACCGTGGACATGATCCAAAATCCCCACCATCTGAGTCTGTTGTGGTTCTGGGGCCGTCGACACTGACCCCTAATCCCTGACCCCCCTGTAGTCTTCCTGCTGGGTGGGTTGTGTTTCCGCTTTTGGAGGAGGATGTTATCATCTACAGAGCGGAGACCCGGACGATGTTGGCCTGGGAGTAGTTGGTGGAGCTGGTTGAGTCGTCGCCTTCGGGCGTGGTGCCGGGCGGAGTGGGCATGCTGATGACGGCGGCGGTGATGTACGACTGGTCACAATTCAGAGGAACCGTCTCCTCAAATTTGGCGTTCAGACTGGATCGACTGGAACGACTGCAGAGAGGACACAGAGGAGCGGTTGAGACTCAACGCATCAAAAGATCTGAGACGACTTCACAGAACAAAGGAACCTTAAAATCTCAGTTTGACCAACATAGGTCTTCAGGTAGGACTGAATCCCCCAAAACAATTCCACATTAAACAGAAACCAGACAGCTTTTTGCTTCTGTATATTTACGTGTTTCCTGGCAGTTTCAAGATCGATTGATCTTGATTTGTGATATTATTGGTTGATTAATTCACATTTACGTAAGTCATTATTAGTTCAGTTTGTTAGTTTACTGTTTGGACTGTTGGTTGTGCACGCCCTGAAATTAACGCGCAATGATCATAATCCATTGAATGCTTTATTCCAACCAACAGTTCAAACCTCAACATTATTACAAATACATTCAAATTATTTCAATCATTCAAAGGGAAACCAAAAAGACTTCAACTATTTTCTATCAATGGACTAATTGATTAATGGACTGATGGTTCCAGCTATATTTAAATAAACTGTTGGGTAGTGTAATTTATAAAAAACATCAAATTTTATAAAATCTTAATATGTTTGTGTGTAAAAATCTGTAAAGCTATCTGATAAATGTATTGAGTAAAAGTGTTAACATAAATGCATTAGGTTCATAAATATGAGATACAGAGGAGTTTCTGTGGACTTTGGATTTTAACCAAGCGTTATCCTGTGGATTGAGGGGAGGAAGAGGAGCAGAGCTTCAGCAGTGATACAGGAGGAGGCTGAAATAGAGAGGAGTTCCCAGCTGTCCATATTTAGGAGAAAGTTCCCAGAGCTCCCAGACCTCCCACCGTCTCCCACAGCTGGACATATTCTGGATTCCTGCTCTCTGACTCTACATGGGAATACACAGTTACATGATCTCTGGTGCCATGTGTTTATATACAGTGAGTGTTCGGCTCAGAGTTTTACTGTTTATAACATCCATTTATATGTTTGTGTCTAGTTAAAGCAGAATGTCTCCTCCTCAGGTCTCTGAAAATGCATTAGATTATATAAATTACATTCAAAAGCAGCTATTGAGCACTGAAAACAATATATAAAGCCATTATTATTTACTTTATATCAAAGCCTGAAAATGTCCTCTTTGATTGGCTGTCAGGTGTCAATCATAGTTCAGGTCAACAGTTTAACCATCGTTCTAAACATGGGCTCAAGGCGGAGATGGGGACTCGAGTTTGCGACTCGGATTCGAGCTTACAGGCAGGTTACAGGTTAATTGTTGACCACGTAACGTTAATGTTACCAGCCAGTACCAGCCACTTGCATGATTTACCAGCATCTGAATGGTGTTAATATTGTGTCCAGCAGATGTAGCTAACTATAACTGAGATTGGATGATTAGTTATTATTGCATGACTAATAATGTTAGATTTACAAGATTACAAGATTTCAAGATTACTTTATTTGTCACATACAGAAGTCCCAGAGTAACATGCAGTGAAATATCTCCTGGTTATGCCTAAACTGGCCTTATAAATAGAATAAATAAGATAAATATGAATAGAATCAAATATGATGTAAATAATGTAATTAAATATAATCTAAATAATGTAATCAGAAATTAAAATATGTGTAAGGGTGTGTGTATGTGTGTGTGTCAGGCTGAGTCCTGGTGGTGGGGGGAGTGGTCAAGTTGAGTTCTGGTTCAGGAGTCTAATGGCCTGAGGAAATAACAATATTTTCCTGTTACCCTGAGTTAGTCTATATCTTTTTTTAGCAACCCTCTCTATAATCAGAAATAAAAGATTAATATATAGCCTGCAACATTAGTTTAGATCCAGTTCTTCTCTCAGAAACATGTGGTTCCAGATGTGTTTTGCTACACATAAAAATGTTAGCTATATCATCCAGATCTTATTACTATAATTAACAGCCTCCTTTGATGAAGAAGAATTTTCTGGAAGAAGGTTTCTGGAAAAGGCATGCCAAAGTGTTCCCGAGGCTCTGTCTTGTGGCTATGAGAGTGCTCGCTGTTCCTGCCATCAGTGCACCAGTGGAGAGGGTATTCAGTCACGGAGGCCTTATAATGCACCCTCACCGAGCCAGGCTTAGTGCAAGGACACTGTCCTGCTTGATCTTTTTGAAATATAACCATTCTGTTGCATAATGTTTTTCTAGGTCTTACAGTAGGCCACTGGAGGACACCTACAAGTTTGTTAATGTTTTGTGGCCCATACAGTGTATTAAGAGAAGAATAAGCTAAACTATTCTGATCTTATTGCAAGTTTATTATTGTTAAATATTTTGTTCTAGGCAAAACAACACTGTTGATTGTTTCTGCAAAAAGATTACTCTTTTGTTAGTAAAAAAAATCAAGATAGCCAATAACTCCAGTGATATTCCATTTTGAGTTTTACTTTTATGCAAGGAATCATTTTTGTCATACAAGGTGCCTTTTGGAACAAAACTGGTCATGTTTTAATACCACCAGTTTATATACTTACAGTATATTTCAGATAATATGGCAGCAACAGTTTTGCTTTTTTTTTGTGAACAAATTTTTAATTGCAAATAACACAGAAGTAATATATACAAGTGTTTAGAGTACTTTTAAGTGTTTTGCTTACAAGCTGTTTGCATTTAGCTAAAGTGTGTTTTTTTGCACTAATTGCAATTATGTTAATTACAATGTCTTTGACTGGGTGAGGTGTAACATTTTCTATATTTGCTCTTATTATGGTCCCACTGAGCCTGCACAATAGGGGGCAAGATATACTATAACTGTATGTTCATGTTGGAAGAATACAGTTTCCTTTAAAGGAAAGCATTCATTGTGTGTTTTCTTCATATTGCATTGCAATAGCCTGTTTAAAGTGATCATATACCAAACAACTAATCAGTACTGATACTGTATGCTAATAGATAAAGGAGTGATAATAATACAGTAAATGCTTTGAATTTCTTAGATATAGCTGTGCAGTATTCTTAGTAGACCGGATAGCAGCAGATGACAGAAGGCTCATTACAACCTGAAGAGACATATGACTTTTATTTTGAGACTTGAGACTTGACTTGGACTCGTGACCAAAGACTTAAGACTTGACCAAGTCTCACCCCACAAAGACTTGAGACTTGACTTGGTCTTGTGACCAAAGACTTCAGACTTGACTTTGACTTGCAAAAAAAGACTTGTGAACATCTCTGGCTCAAGGTCAATGAAACTAACCGTAGCAACAGTAATGTTTCATACTGTCTTACCACCTAAATCTTTTCAGGGATTTGTGGGACCTAGCCTAAAGATCAGTTGAACCTTCTTAACCACACTTAATACCTCCTTAAAAACCTCTACAACCTTCTCACACACCTTTGGAACCTTGTCAGAACATCTTCAACACCTTTTACTCTAAAACTTCCTCAATGGCCTATGGTACCAACTCAAGCACCTCTGGAACTTCTTAAGTGTGCCAATAACCTCATTACGAGTTTTGGTACCTGTACAGGGACCCATGGAATCTCTTTAAGGATTCCTACAATATACGTAAGGATCATAAGAACCTTCCTATCAGCATGTAATACCTCCTTAAAGACCTCTGCAATCATGTTAATGTCCAATGGAACCCTGTTGAGACATCAAGACATCTCCAACCTTTACAGGGATCTCCTTGTACCTGTGTAGCCTCCTCAGTGTTCTCTAAAACCTAAAATCTCTTCAAGGAAGTGGGTTCACCTGGAACCTCTTTAAGCATCCCTTGGACATATTCAAGCATTACTAGAACTTTCAACAAGCTCTAATAACCAATTAAGAACTTCTGCAAACTCCTCAATGATGCTTGAATGATGCTTCTCAGAAAACCTCCAAACTTCTTTAAGGTCTTTACAAGGGGATCTACAACCTCCTCATAATCCTGTAACACCTTTTTATGGGCCTTTGCAACTTCCTAAAGGATCCCTAGAATGTTTTAAAGACTTTTCCGATCTTTTCAATGAGCTCTTAACCTCCCAAAACATCTTTGGAACTTTCTCAAGAACCTCTGAAACCTCCTTTTGGACCTCTTTAAGGATCACCAGAACCACCTCATTTGCCTTTTATACCTTCCTAATGACTAATACTAGACTAGTGATGTCCTTTGTCATCCCTGAAATGTCTTTGAGAGCTCTAAAACCTTTATAAGGATCTCTAAAACGTCCTCAAGGACCTCTGGTACCTTCTCAAGGACCACAGGAACTCTTATAAGCTATTTCCTACCTGTTGGTGAACGGTCTGTCTCTGATCTGGATGGTGCTTAGTTCCTGGATGCTGCCCTGCAGACCCACAGACATGTTGGAGTTGGGGACGTTGAAGGTCTTCCTCTTCCTGCGGCTGCAGCAGGAGCTAAGGCCGTGGGGTGAGGAAGTGGAGGAGGTGGAGGAAGAGTGGGACACCTGATTCACCAGAGTCACGTCCCTGTAGCTCGCTTCGTATGTTTTCTCGTCCACAAACTCGTGGTTCTGAGGCAGATACAACATCAGGATGTTAGAGGAAAGGTATTAAAGGCACTGTGTGCGGGATTTGAACATTTCTGACTTTGGTGACTCCTAGTGGTAGCACCAAAAAAGACACACACACACACACACACACACACACACACACACAAAAGGTTCTAATCAGAAATGATAACAGTTGAGTGTAGAGACTAGTATCAGAACTATAAATAGAGTATAAACAACTTATATAGATTTTTTTTTATCAGAACAGTCTATACTTACGTGAGTTAATGCACCCGTAATTTAGAGGTGCAACGGATCACAAAGGTTACGGTTCGGATTGTATCATGGTTCACTATGATTGTTAAACAGTGATTGCATCCTATTTCTGGAGGTCATCCAGAACTGTATTGTTGTTAAATATGTAGGTATGGTTTGGAGGTGTAGAGCAACGGTTCATCTTAAGTTCTGTTCACGTTGCGTAAATCCTCAGGCTCAGGTTGCATTCTGTTTTTTTCAGTTTTTTTTTTGACTGAGTCAGTGTCCATGCATGTCATAAGGTGCAAGTAGATACACAATGCCAGGGGTGTGTTAATGCTCCTCTTAAGGTAATGAACAGCTTTAATAGCTAAGACTTTTATTTGTTTCAGTCACTGGCCTTTAATTCCTTTTGCACAAAACTTTTACTCTACAAAGATGGTAAATACCATCAGATTGTTTATTTAAACCAGTAGCAATATTATCTGTATAAAAATCTGGCTATTGAACAACTTATCACTTTATTTGATCATTTTATACTTTGGTGTGTCTGTGTGTTCTCACCGTGGTCTTCTCCAGACAGTGCAGAAGGTGATGATGATGCACCTCAAAGCCGGGGTTGGCCTTACACACCAGCGCCTGTCCGGCTTCCTTGGACGCCTTTAGGGCACAAACACAAATCACACACAGTGAGCCCGTCATTGAACACGCCTCCACCCACCCAGAACCAAAGCACCGGACACACATAGACAGTTCCAACCACCTTCTTGTTAGAATCACTGTAAGAATATTTCATCTGTCTAGTTTTATTTACCCACAATCCCCTCCTGGAGTTAAAAAGTGACGGATCGCTCACTGGTTCAAACTCAGGCTACCGACTGCAGCCGTTCAGCAACTTTATCACTGCTTCTCTAAATGTGTTTGTATTTCTGCTTGTTTATTTTGACTTGAACCTCATTTGATCCAAGAGAGCCACCGTACTCATATTATTCAGGGGTTCAGACTGAATGTGACGCAGTTGGACGGACAGAGGGACTGAAGACTCTGTGATCATCATGGGGCAAAGAGCTCAGGTACTGCCAAAGGAACAGTCTGAAGTATGCATGTTACCTATCCTTCCCAGAATCAGAAAGCCAGCCCTGACTAACCACCTTTAGGGTCCCACCTAGGAGACCACGGAAGTTAGTAGCCTCACTCCTACGGACCCTAAAAGAAGTTATGTCTTACTTCTGGGGACTTCATAGAAAGTCATGAGAACTCAAACTTCTTGACTCTAAGGCAGGACCCTATCTTCTGTAGGTCCTAAGGGAGGTAATGTACATGACCTTTAGAGACCCTAAAGAAAGCCAAACAACTAAATCCTGGAGACCTTAAACAAAGTCACAAACCTGACTTCTCTGGAGAAAGTGGGGTACCTTCCTCCCAGGGACTCTGAAGGGACAGATGTTCCTTAAATCCTATGTACCTAGATCTGTAAAGGAAGTGATGCACCTCACACATGGGGAACCTGTGTATAATAGTATAACCATGTTGTACTATTTGTGTTATCTGTTGTTACTGTTGTACTATTTGTGTTATGTGTTGTTACTGTGGTACTATTTGTGTTATGTGTTGTTACTGTGGTACTATTTGTGTTATCTGTTGTTACTGTTGTACTATTTGTGTTATCTGTTGTTACTGTGGTACTGTTTGTGTTATGTGTTGTTACTGTTGTACTATTTGTGTTATCTGTTGTTACTGTTGTGCTATTTGTGTTATCTGTTGTTACTGTTGTGCTATTTGTGTTATCTGTTGTTACTGTTGTACTATTTGTGTTATCTGTTGTTTGTGGATTCGTACTGTTGTGGATTCTTACTGTTTTTTCTTTTTTCTCTTGTACATAGTGTTTTTTATTTATTATTTTTTACTACTCCTACTGTTTTTATACTTTTTTTTTCTCTATCCACTTTGCTGCTGCAACATTGGAATTTCCCCATTGTGGGACAAATAAAGGAATATCTTATCTAATATTATCTTAACCTAAAAAAAGTGACACACCTTAATCCCATGTACCCTAAAGGAAGTCATAAACCTCCCTGGTGACCCCAAAGGAAGTAATAAATCTTCTTCCTCAAGGTTCTCGTAAGGACTCTAAAGTAAGTGATGCAGCTGACTAATGGGGACAATATTGGAGTGACGAACCACACATTGTGGGGGCCGTGAAGGGAGCAACACAATTCAATCCAGGGGTTCCCTAAAGGAAGTAATACATCTTCCTCCTGGGGGCCTCAGACGGACTCTGAAGGAGATGATGCATCTCACTCCTGGGGTTGCTAAGTGCTTCCAATGGCTTTCAGACCTAGAGTCACCAGGAGTGAGCTCTGACTGCTAGCCTAGCTTAGCACCTAGCTTAGTCTCAATATGTCCCAGACTATTAATACTCAATCTTCATTCAAATCTTAGTAAGACATAAAACAAGCTAGCTTCTCAAAAACTCAGACTACTCCTGAAAAGGTCAGAGTTTGTCGAGCACAGCTGTCGTCCACCATCTCCTCTGCATCGCATTGACTCCGCCCCTGTGCATGCCGCATGGTTGGCTGATTGACATGCAGCTCAGACGGATCTCATTCCTCCACACGGCGATGGAACCCAAAACGCGTAGTGATGATGTTATGAGCAGGGCAGGCCAGTTAGTCAGCAGCCAAGCCACATGGGAGATCAAATCAAAATACGCATGAATCCAAAGAAAACACAGATGAAGAAGAGAGATGTGGAGGTCGGGAATCTTTATAGACATTGGTTTCCTGTTGGTGAGATGCCCGACACCTGAGGACTGGGGCATGCGCAGGTGAGTTAGAGACGGATTAACCCAGGGTGGTTCTCTATGTGCAGTGTCAGTGTGAGAGCAAAGCTGAAGACGAATAAAGAAAATTTGAAATAAAGACGTTAAGGATGCCAACAGTTCAACAGTGACATTTCCTGTTGGCCCACAATCAGTTTTAAATCCACATCAGCAGAGTTCACTGTCTCGATAAGACTGAAAAAATAAGAACAAACAAACACAGTCAGCCCGCCTGAGGCCCTCCACCCATGATCACTGATACTGAGCCGGGACGCAGAACCAGAGTATCAGAAATGTATGTCACTATGGTTAGTGAACAGATTATCATTCTTTAATGAGAAAATCATGAAAGAAGCTATTTCCCAACAACCATTTATAAAAAAAACCGGAAAACAAACTGTTATCTGATTTTATTTGATGTGCTTATAAATGGAAATTGTAAATTAAATCAGATTCGAATTGTTCCATAAACGCATCATTAATGAATCATATCGTAGCCCATGTGTCTAGATCTGATGTACACCCCTAGTATAAACTCATGGGTATTGTATTGAGACTTTTGCGAGAAAGTGTTTCATTTAATGTCAGAATTTCGTAACAAAAATTATTATTGTTTTTGTTGTGCATTGTAAAGGTCCAGAAGTTTTATGATCAACTAGGTCCGGTGGATTAATGTTACTGCTGAACTGGATAGATGGACGAATAGAGACATGCTGAGAAATAAAGACGTGATAATAAAAACAGATTAAAACAAAGAAAAAGCAGCTTGAGGAGGTAAACAACCAACCCCCCCCTTTTGGGTCACATTGAGCATCCAGCATGCAGCAGCCTGCAGCGTTCGCTAGCAGCTCGACAAGAACAACGAAAACATGAAAGAAATGAAAAGGATAAAAAACACCAGCACCACCCGACGATGACTGCATCTCCGTGGTTACCTCCTCATCGAGGTCAATCAGCAGCCGGCTTTGTTTGTACTGCAAATAAGCGTTAGCCCCTCCGCTCTTCACCGCGTGAATTCTAGCAAGCCTGGTTTTCTGTTTGTGAACACATACAAACGTCAGTTCAGCCCGTCCAATCGGGTTCTCTGAGTGTGAGATCTGCTGATCTTGAAAGATTTTTTTGTGGTTTTCACATAATTAATTATAAAGCTCGCATTAATGCCTTATTGTGCTTTATTCCACCAGACCAATAACTCTGCAGTAGAAAAGGTCCTCCAGTGCCTACACTGGGTTTTTTGCTTATTGTGACATAATTTCTTGGGAGTATCTTGAAATGATTAGTATCCTAAAATCTGTACATTTTCAGCCAAAAGGTAGAAGCCATAAACCATAACCATTGAAAACTGTACGACCCTAAAGAGCTAATATGCTACTAATATGCATGCTCATAAGCAAGTTAATGGTTAATATGTGTACTACTTAATATAAAGTGCGATCAAAATATCTTGCGTGATGATAAATCATAGACTTTGTAATCATCTCTTTTGTAATTAGTGTGAGATATGGATCTCATACCATAAATATGAGATATTTTCTTGTCAACAACGAGGTGTGGATCTCATATTCATGACATATTAAGTCAGATTATGATAAAAACATCTCCCCGTTATTCGTTCTGGTGAAAGCAGTGTATCCCTGTTGTGGTATTCAGAGCAGCAGACAGAGAAATGATTCAACTTGTGTTGCTCTCCCTGCGGGATAAACAAAAGTCTCTGGAACAACCATAAACTCATTTGTTGATGTTGGGAGGAAGTAAAACTCTGGACACAGTTTCCTCTCTCTGTTCTCTGAGGATTACAGTAAGAAATCAGCTGTGATCAGACATAATACTGTTTGTGCCTCTTTTGTCTCCTTAGAAATGTTTCTTCCACCTAATAAAGAGGAGATATTTTACAGCACTGTGCGACTATAGATGATTAACCTCAGGTTTCTCCTCCCTCTGTGCCGATACAACTGAACTTCACTGAGTTTTAACTGTGAGATGTGACTCCAGAGTTGAAGTTTAACTTGGTCACCTTCTGTGCTCGTCTCTTCTCGGCTCTCTGGCTCTGGTGGTAGATTCGGCTGAAGTTGGAGACGATGACGGGAACCGGCAGGGCGATGACCAGCACGCCGCTCAGAGAGCAGACGGAGCCGAAGATCTTCCCCATGATGGTCTTTGGTACCATGTCGCCATATCTGACAGAGAGAGAGAGACAGAGGGAGGTTAGACGGGATGCAACCCTTTCAACTCGGCTGTGTTGTTTTCCAGGAGATTTTCCAGGAGTTTTTCTTGACAGTACAGGACAGCACTCGCTCACAAACGGTGGTCATCGATTTAAACAGGATAATGCAAAAAACAGCCGCCTGCAGGACGTCTGCTTTTAGCTTTTAGACGGTTTTAACTTCCAACACCAAAACTCACAGCTGCTCGCACCAGAATACGACATTTACTGTTCAAATACGACATATATAAGTAAAACTCATTTTACAAACTCGCAGCTCATCCTGTCTTTTGTCTCTGTTGGAAATTGATTGTCATCCTCTCCTGATGGATTCTCAGTTTACTGCTGAAATTAGTAGTTAATTAATGGATTGGTTGGTCAGTTGATTAATAACTGAAGTGATTTACAATCAAACAGTCACTGGACGGACGGATGGTAAAAAATCAGAGTCATCAGACTAATTGATGATGAGTTGTACAAGAGGAAAATAAACCCATTATTATTAAGTATTTTAATGTATACAATGTATTAAATACTTTATTTTCTTATTATTTAATTATATAAACACTTTATTTTTGTTATAATCTGTTTTTTTTGTTTTCATTCTTATATCTTCATTTTTCTCTTTCTCCTCTTTCTAACTGAATAATAATGATTGTAAATAATGCAATGAATGTGGCTGTGGGAACGTAAAGCTGTATTTAGAGTTTATTAAAGAGTCTAATCTTCACTCAAACATTTTCCTTCCCAATGTGCAGTTTTGCAGATGAACTGTGAATATATTTATGAATAATAAGTGTCCTGCTGTTGACACAAACTCCACGTTTTCAATAAAAAATGCATACGATCAGCAGAAAATGGAGCTGACGCAGCGTTTTGTCAGCGTCAGTCTGAAGAGTGGAGCTGCAGTTCAGGCAGCATCCACACAGAGGAGCCAGAGGTCTGCAGGACAACTCTGATCATCAAGCGTCCTTCATCACCTCCTTCATCACCTCCTTAATCTCCTCCTCACCACCTCCTCAGCACATTACTGCAGATACAGAGTCCAGAATGATATTAAAATAAACCGGCGTCTCCGACCTACTTTTAAAAACCACTCATTCATTATTATCTCACTCTGCCTCATATTCTCTCTGATGGCCGTCCCTGCGTTTCCCAGCATGCTCTGTGCTCACATGTTTAGGTGGAGGAGAGCTTTTGGATTTCTGACTCCATCAGGTCAAATTAAATTCCTCTTACAGAAAACTTTATTCACACAGCGAGGACGAAGAGCATCGGTTCTCTTTTGGGTTTTTAAATTTGCTTTTCAAAAGAAAAATGCAGAAAATGCTCACGTTAATATTTCTTTGTTTTCCGTTTTCCGTTTACTCTGGTCAGGTTAAATATGTGGTTTTTGGTCCTGAAGGGACCCCCGGAGGAAGTTTCAGCCGCAAGGTGACGTTAAAGTTTGTGTCAGTGACTGATCACCTCGCCTCCTCCTACAAACCTTCAAACCCAGAGTCACAGCCAGAGACAGCCAATCAGAGGCTGCAACCTTGTCTCAGTGTGTGTGTGTGTGTGTATGTGTGTGTGTGTGTCACAGTCAAGAATACAAAATCAGACACACACTGTACAGTGGTGTGTGTGTATGTTGTGTCATGTGACTGCGTCCTTCATCAAGGAGGATGAGTGTGTGTTTACCTGCTCATCAACACACAATGGAGTTCATGCCTTTATGAGGACCCTTTGGTCAACAACAATGTAAACAAACTTATGTGTCCACTCAAAGACATCTTTCACAAATAGAAGATCTTCGGATTATAAGTACACTGCAAAAACAGCCCTTCTAGAAACAAGCCAGATATTCTTACATATAATCAAATATTTTTCTGTTGAGCAAAAAACTCTGCCAGTGGGCTTTGTTTGCTTTGTTATCATTCTTAAAACTATCATAAAAATCAGCCCCTGGAAGACTAATGGGCCTTAAAGCTAGCCAAATATTTAAGAAAGCTGTGCTAACATCATGCTACGAGAGCTAACGTTATGCTACGAGCCAGAGAGCTAGTGTTACTCTCGCTAGATTCAAAGTCAATAACACTGCGTACAGTTGACAAACAGTAAATATTATTTGTCTGTATGTTTAACAATAAGACTAGCTAGCTATCATGATTTTTCCGATTAGAATATTTGGTGTTTTTCTATTATCAGGTTTTGTTGTCTTTGTGGACCCCAGGAGGAGTAGCTAATGTTCCGCATCATGCTAATAGAATCAATCAAATCAATTTGTTCTAATTGATTTTGAGGTTATGTTGTATGTTTATTGTATGAACTGTAAGTACACACATTATTATCTGATTTGAATATGGACTCCAGGAAGAGTTGTCACTGGACAAAAAGGACCTGTATCTGGAAAGATCTAATGGTGTACAGGTTTATGGATCTCTTTCCAGATCTGTCCATCATATGAAAATAAATTGTGTCAAAGATCCAGTCTGTATCTTCTGCATACCGACCGTATCTTTGACAGATACCAACGTATCACCACCTTGGATAATACTGTATTTTTGTGCATTTATTCCAGTGTGTTGCCAAGGCAACAACTAATGGGGATCCCAAAAACCACTAAACCCACAATACATCTGATCACAAATATTTTCCTGTTTTTTCACGGGGGAACTGAGCATGAAATGAAACCCACGTATCTTCTCCCAAAACCAGCCGACTGGCAGAGGATGAGTGATTCCTTTTATTCAACAGAATAGAAAGCTATTGGATGTTCTGAACATTTAAAACTGATCCACTGAAAAAGAGTTATGCTTTCACATTTGTGTGATTGGCCTTTACAATGCTTTTAATGTGAAACTGCAGGAAGTGATCAGTTGGCGATTAGCAACAACCTAACACAAGAAATGAAATGATCAACTTGAGAGGTCCACAAAAAATGACCACAAATGTTCAATCAAGATCATTTAATTAGATTAATTAAATAATTTTATCTGGTATCTTTATAGGTTGAGAGAGTAAGAAGGCCTCTCTGTGAAGCTTCAGCCACTGTTCTAGAGCACCTTGCACTCACTGTTTAATAACTACGTTTTTTTTCCCTTGTATCAAGAATATTGTTTGCAACCTTTTTATACGACGTAAACGGGACTAAAACTACATTAAAACGACTTTTCTAAAAGTTTTACGCTTTCATCAACAACTTTTCCACGGGACTTAAATTTGACTAAAAATAAATCTGAATTAGGCAGGACAACAGCTTCATCAGTCCAAAGACAAAAAGTCAAACTGTCGTCTCCGTTCACCTTCCCTCATTAATATTTGTCGCCCACAAACGGCGTCCGAGCTCTTAAACCGGCTTCATTACTGCAGCAGTGTCCGTTCTTCTCAATGTGTCTTTAACTTTCTGTCTGTCTGTATGTCCACCCTGAACATTTCTATTCTCACGTCCGTCCTAAGGGAACTGGAGGTTAATTATATTTAATTTCAGTGGTCACAGACAGCTGAAGGGCTGAGAACACATTTAGAGGTTAGACACATACGTACATGCTGAGAGGCTTTTTTAACATTGAAATTTGGAGGATGAATTTATAGCAGAACTCTCAGTCAGTCTATTTTTAATTCAGAGGTCAATTTATCTGAAAAGTCTAAGTCAAGAAATGATTTGTCTTTCATAGTTTGAGAAATGAAATTTCATTCACACCAAATAAAAAATGTATTGTTTCTAACGAAAACAAACCCTTCTCACACTGTTGTTTTATTCAACTGATGCCTCAGTGACTGAGCTTTGAGAGGATTTCAGAGTAAAAGCACCATAATCCTGATCTGCAGCTGGCTAACGGTCCACAGAGCTGATCTGAGGTCTGTGTGAGAGCTACTCCAGCTAGCTGACAGTCAGCAGTGAGCTGATCTCAGGTCTGCGTGAGAGCTACTCCAGCTAGCTGACAGAGCATTGAGCTGATCTGAGGTCTGTGTGAGAGCTACTCCAGCTAGCTGACAGTCAACAGTACAGATCTCAGGTCTGCGTGAGAGCTACTCCAGCTAGCTGACAGAGCATTGAGCTGATCTGAGGTCTGTGTGAGAGCTGCTCCTGTTATATTTCCATGTCTTGCATTAAATGTTATTCAGGACATGTTTGCTGCAGAGAAAAAGGTGAACTCGTCTTTCCTCAGAATAAACGCTGACATCAAACACACATACACACACGTTCACTTTATCGACCACACATACCCCACAGAGACGTGTGTGTGTGTGAGGTCGTCCTCTGTCAAAACAAACTGTAGATATTGACACTGATGCAGCAGTCAGCACTTTCTCCTCCTGAGCAAAAAAATGTTGTCAGATCCACTAAAATCTACCTCCAACACCTGATCCTGTTGATTGCTCTCAGTCGCTCTGGTTGCACCGACTCTTCCAGACGAGCTGTTCATTAAAGCTCCAGTGTGTCACATTAATGGAATATAATATTCACGTATGTTGTGTTTTCCTGTGTTTTCCTAATTTTTTACAGTAGGAGGTAAACATCGACATATAAAAGATGGATGTCTCAACTTCCTTTCACTGTAAAGAAATATGAAGCCAAAATCTTCCAAATACGGCTGCTGCCATCTTGCTCTGGTGAGTCTCAGCTGCTAATCATGAAATGAAACCCCCTTTTTATATCTTCAAATAACTCATTCAAACAGATAGAGAGGGTCTATACTGCAGTCAGCCACCAGGGGAGATAGAGAGGGTTGGCTTCAGTATTAGGGAGCTCTCTTGTCGTTAATCTTTATATATGTCGATTGAGGTAACTTATAAACATGGATGTAAACAACGCAGGGTAACACATTTAAAAAATCTTCTTTGCAAATGTTTTATTACGAAGGAAAAATATTCACCATGTTTGTTAGAGCTCAAAGATTCACACACTGAGTCCTCAGAGGAGCTTTAAGTCAATACACTCACATCTGCTCCAGAAACTCATGTAAACACTTATTAAGCAAACTGTTGTTC